CGTATTTTGATCACGTGCTGTGAAAGCTTAAAAGATTATAGAAATTGTTTCATCCTGAAGTTTTCTACAAGAAACGTTACCCACTTAAACTGTAAACATGAAACTTAATTAAACAATTCAAAAAGTCATAAAGGAAGCTGTTTTTGCTTAAGGCGCAAAACCAATACCGAAAAATGTCATCTGAACTCATAATTTAAATCAACAAATAATTTGCATTTGCAAATGGAGCTCAACAAAGCTGGCATTTGAAAAATATGTGTGCCCCGCCGGTGACTCTTGAAACTCAATTTAACCACATGCTGCATGCACATTCGGTAATCTTAGTGGGTCAGCAGCTCAGCGGCTTATGCATTTAACCATGCCAGCCCCTTTCATTTGTCTTGCCTCCCCTGCTGCTGCTGCTACAGTTGGCAGAAAACTATTTTAGCCAGACTGCGTACTCCTTAACCTCGGCCATGCTTACCTGAACTTACGTTACAGTAAATTGCCCCGAAACAAAATATGAAAACGCATTACTTGGATTGGTAGGGGTTAACACATAGCCCACCCGCCCGTGTGTGTGTGTATTCGTGTGTGTGTGCGGCAAAGTTTTGGCCTGCATCTTTGTGCCTTTTTAGTTGGCTGCTTCTTTTATTTTGTTTGAACTCTATTTTTATTTTTATTGGCTCGCCCAACGACACAAGTTTCTAGAGCGCCACTTGAGCAACGCGCCAACACAAACACATTCACACACACATACGCACACACAGGCGTACACACATGCAATTGCCATAAAGGAAAAGTTGTATTACATTTATGACACTTTTGAATATATTTTTATACATTTTTGTTGGCCTCCGCATATTTTTCGTGTGCTCTGCTGTTTTTTTTTTTCCCCCAGCACGTTCGCTGTTTTATTTAACTCGCCATTACGTTTTTACAACCCTTTTTGCAGCCAGTGTTGACAAAGCGGAAAAGGCAAACAAAGCGACGACTGCAAACAACACGACGGCAGGCAGCCCACATTGCGGCTGGGGGTGGGGTGTTAAGGGTTGCGGGCTGTGGAGTAGGCAAACATTTTAGCTGGCGACATTTCATCAAAATGGGCAATGAGTCAATCCCAGCAGTAGCAGCAGCAGCGGCAGCGGCAGCAGCCATCCGAGCTGCGAAGGACACGCACTTAATCAAAGCATACTTTCCGGGAGCGACGCCGATTTGTTGTCCTTGTAGCTGGCAAGGAGTCGAGACTTCCAAGATTTTTCCATGCTGCCACAGAATAAATAAGCTGAGAGCCAACAATAAAGCAAATGCAAATAAGTAAACAAATGACGAGTAGACAAATAGAATGCTAAGGTCGCATATGTTGTCATCATTCTGGATAGGCTCCGTGAAGGAGCGTAACTGTGGATGTGCCGAATCGGGCAGCAGTTGAAGCAGTTAATGCATTACTTAATCGAGATTTCCAGGAATCCAAAAGATGCGCATAAAATATGCTTAAACCAAAACGAAAAGGTCTTCGTCTCTTTTGGGCTCCCATGAGTTTTCAATTACACTCGTAAATTTTTGAAATACAAGCTGGTATTTCCCGGCCTTGCCCGGTCCAAGTTTTTGCCTTCAATTTTAAACATCCACCCATTTTTGCCTGTGGCAATTAAAATGCACCTGTACTGTCATGACCTCCACGTCTAAAGTTGTATATTCCATAGATGTTCCGCTCACTTTAGTCTCGTGACGGGAAGTTCTTATGTGAGTTTGAAGCCAATCGGACAAGACTAGAAACTTCGCTCAACCGATGTTTGCATCGCATTTTCCACCGAAGAAGCTTGGCTTCTGCAAAAAATGTGAAACACGTCTTAAGTGATTTTTTATAAAGATCCTCGGAATTTGAGCCCGAATCCACCAGCCATCACATTCACCAAGGAGGAATTGATATTCGAAAAGTATGAAACAGCAAAATAAATTTGCACAATGATCTCTGAAAATGAGTTTGAGGCCGATCGGCTAGTAAACAAAATAGTTGCATACAAACGTTTTTCGCGCTTTTTCCACACTTGCGGGCGGAACTTCCCCAATAAGCGTAGCAGCGTGCCCCTCCATCAATGAGGTTAAGACAGTGAAACCTTCAGCATCCTTGCTGGACCCTTTGGACTGTGCATTGATCATCAATCAGTCAGTCAGCCAGTCAGTCAGGACAAACAGTTTTATATATAGCGATGTACGTTTGTATTAAATACAATTTTAGCAAGAAAAATGAAAAAGAACATAAAGTTGTGCATATGCCAATTGTCAATCCTTTTTTTGCGGTCATTTATTAACATGCACAACATGTCGTTTAATTTTTCCTCTGGTAAATATTTGCATTAACCGACGTTTGACATGCGTTTTAATATCAGCTCCATTTTGGCTCCACATATGTGTAAGTCAACCAAAAATTTGAACTGAATTTAATCGAACCGAAAATAAAATCAATTTCTTTTACACACTTTTAATGACATTTACATGGTTATTAATATTAAATAAAAAACATGTTTTAAATAACACACAGTTTCGTCCTGTCGATTTGATGCAAAGTGTTTCCATAGTTTCCTTCTTAAATATTTACAGGCATATAATCCATGCATGAATGCGTGTATCTATAGCTTTTGTTATCAAATATATATATATATACATAACAGTTTAGTGGGAGCAGCTGCTCATTTTGCAGATTACTTAAAAACTGACAACTGAGGCGCGGCGTAGGCAGAAGGTGAACCATTTAATTGGGTAATCAAATGAATTCAATCGAAATAATTACTCGGACACCCGCAACTAATTACACACATTTATAAAGACACAATGCGATGCTGGTTGTTTTTCTGGGCGGTGGGGGGCATGGTTAAGGGTGGTGTGTGGTGGTGTGTGGTGGTGGCCTCGGGTGTCGCCAGTTGCCGGTTGCGATTTGTTTTTGCTATTGTTGCATGTAATTGATAGCAGGCACGTAGTGCCACGCGACAGTCACAGCTGGCACAAAGAGTGTGTGTCTGCCTGTATCTGTGTATGTGTGAGAGTTTGTGTGCGTGTGTCTGTATGTGTGTGTGTGTGTGTGTGTGTGGAGGGGGGACACACACTGCATTTCATCAGTGGCAAATCAAAAGAATTCACACGAAATGTTTGCCATGCAGACGGAAGCGACTGCCACCGGAGCTGTGCAGACAGCAGCACCGTTTCTTTTACACACTCACACACACTCGCACACACACACACAGTCGCACACATGTGTTTGTTGAGCATGTGTGCGTTTGATAACGATGCTAGCGTCGACTTGCGGCTGCCAAGTCCTTGCGACTGCTACTAATTTTGCGGCGCTGATGTTTCGTTCATTCGCGCAATTTATTTAACTTGATTTCCTGCAATTTATTTCAAGTGTTGTCGTTTATTTAAGCACTCCACACGCCCACACACACCTAAACACACACACACTCACACATACACATGTGCTTTGAGTGCGAGTGTAAAATGCACTGTAAAAAAAAAAAAGAGCGCTGCATAATTGCGCACCACTTTGGCTATCGGTCTCGTCAACGCGCGTTCCACGTTGCAACGTAGCCATGTTGCAGCTACAAAAACTCGCTGACTCACACACACACACACACACACACACACTCGCATTCACACACGCTTTCATACCCATTTGTGCAATTAACTCTTTGACGCAATGTACGACATGAAGTTGCACGCGCATCCTTTTGAAAAAGAAAATGCAACAAATTGTTAGGCGGCCAAAGTGACCGGGCATTACCCGGCTTTGCACGCGACAAGTTTCTTAGATCTTATAGTTTCGATATTGGTTTTCTATCCAATTCCCATAGATTAGATATATAGAAGATAGAAAGATGTAGAAAAATTAAAATCCCATTTTATTTTGAGCCTCAACTGCGGGAAAGCGTAGTTTTTCCGGTTTGAACTTTAAATATTGTAATTCTAACTAGTTCATATTTACCATTAACCCATTGTTAAGACCAAACAGTTTCTTTTGGTTGAACATAAACATTAAACATATTTTTGATTGACAACTTTTATGTTTTGAACATTTTGATAAAGGTAGTTTCTGTACTCAGTAAAGGTAACATATTTCGATAAATACAAATACGTTATTGAGGAAATGCTCATCGATAATAAAATAAATTGTTCTGCTACTTTTCATATCAACAGAAACATAAATTTAAAGTGACAGAGAGTTGATAAACTATGCTTTCAAAATTATTTATTTGATTAGAGATAGATTCGAACTGTTTATAAAAAAGGAAACCTGTTAAAATATATCTTTAAATAGCTAATGTGATTTGAAGTTCCAATGTAGAGTTTTGCCTGCAAGTTCTGAGTGTTGTTAGGGTTAGTTTCGGCCGAAGGCAGATATATATATCTATTCTCAACTGATACTACGACATGCACACATGCCTGAGTATATAAATGTGAATGTCTGATGTCGTGTTGGCACTGCCATTGGCCCCACTTTCTGGTGTTCATCATTGTGAGCAGCTAATGGTGCTCATTTATTTTATTGACAGCTTGCTTTTACCCCCTTTCTTACCCAGGTTTTTCAGAGGGAAAGTCAGAGAGCTTTCCTTACGCAGGACTTTTGCATTTAGTTGGCGTCTAAAGTGTGCAAATTAGTTGATTTTCATGTTGTTCACCCGATTTGCCAGTGAAAAATGAAGTGCGTTTATTTCCCCAATTTATGATGGTCAATTTGGGCGCAACTGTGAGTAGATGAAAGGCCCAAATGGGACGTTCTGTGCTGGGCATAATTAAATTGCTGAGTTTAAGAATCAAGCAAAATGCTAGCCACATTGCCAAATGGCAAACTATTTGCATAAAGCAGGCACAGTCCCTCAGCTCCTCAGTTCCTCAGCCACTCAACCAGGCTCAGATCGGTGCAGCATGAGAGGAGTGGGAACAAACATACGTATAAAGGAAATGCTGCTTATTTTGCCATAATTAAATTTATTTTATTTAACTTTATTTTTATTTTATTTTCACAGCAGCGTGTAACTGGCAACCGGCAACCGGCAACTGGCAAGCGAGTTATTGGCGCAGTCTCGTAATTGATAATATGGAATGCAACGCATTGCGAAGCGAAATCCATTAGTGAGTATAAATAAAGCCTTCCATAAGTCATTAAAAAAACATCAAAAGAACGCTGCGAACGTAGCGTCGACGGCCGAAGCTGAGATCCAGCGGAAATCAGAGCCGGATTGAGGGTTCATATTGTATGGAACTGCACCTGGCATATCCACCAATCCAATTGAATGGAGTAAAAACTGATTACGCACGCTTACGTACAGGTAAAAATGGATATATGTCTGTGTATGTGTAGGTGTGTGTGCCTGTTCGTTTAATTTAAGCTTTTACATTTGGCTTTGTGGCTTCAATAATTAATAATTGAAGGCGTTGGCATCCGAATGGCAAACGTATTTATCCACCCATTTGACACAGCATTGAACAGTGTGTGTGTGTGTGTGTGTGCCTTGGTGGTTTCCGACCACCGCTTTCATCACATTCAACATGCAATGCCTATTTTACAGCTCTTACATAAATTTGTGGGCCAACCGCAAAAACAGAAATTGAATGCTCGCTGTCAAGCTGCCCAATTGCCCAGAAGCAACAAGGATGCATTCATTTTGAGGCATCTTTTGGCCTGGGCTCGCTTTTGTAATTGCAGATGGTTAGCTGCAATTGTCTCGCTTCAGCCAAGCACTTTATAAGCCGAATAAACCGCAGTCAAATTGAATTCTCTGGCCGGCTAACAAAACAAGCGACTGAGGGGCAAGTGGCAGGTGGCAGGCTGCAGAACAGCAAAGGCGAACTTCTTAGGCGGTTTATATTCCAATTCCTGCTGTGTAATATCATAATTTACGACTTTTTGACAAATTATCGGCATCGCTTGTCCAAATAAAACGCAAAGCATAAATTTGAAAATCGCAATAAGCGCAAATTTCAATAAATTAATCATTGAAAGACGTCGGCCATGGCAGAGGGCTTGATGGGCGGGGCGGGGCGGCTGATGTAGCACAATAAGCGGTTTATTCAGCTCTCGTTCTGTCCGATTCTGTCCCCCTCTCAACCGCCCAATGTGCCTTACAACAAGAACGACAACACAGTTTTAAATGTTTTAAAATCAAATGTTTACGCACAGAGGGAATCGGCAGACATGGAGGGCGAATGGGGAGGTTGGGGGTTGCAAACGGGGCGCCCGGAGCAAGCGGAGTTATGCCGAGCCGTGTCGAGTCATGTAGCAACAGCTGTTGTAGGCCATGTTTTGATCCTTGTCGACAGTGGGTATTGCCAAGTGGGGCAAAGTGCCGAGCCACAAATTGGCCTTAAATTCCAACTACCATATGGTTATCGCAGCTCCATTGATTGTGGTCGTATTTTTTGGTATTAATGCTCTACTTAAATTCAAAATAAATTGGCGAAGAGCTACACTACGTATGCTTTCAAGCAAATATTATAATTATAAAGCGGAATTTGTGGTTGGACTGCTCGAAAGTAAGAAACATGCCTTTAGCAATAGGAACAACAAGAACCTTTCTGATAGTAATGTGATGTGTCCTCTTCGACTTCTGTTTAATTTAACTCTAGGAAAATTGTCACACGTCAGCTAAAAGTTTATTTCGACTAATTATTTGTGAGCTGCTTTAACAGAGTTTGATCATGACGATAGAAACTAAGCAGAAATCCTTTTGCAATGTCCAAAATTTTCAAATTAGACTTTCGTGTTTACGGATCGCAATGCGAGTTGCCCACTAGCTACTTGCCACTTTCCACTTAGCAGCTGCCAGTTGGCCTTTTGGCAACGCAACGCAAATTGGAAGGCAAAAGCAAACCCAAGAACAAAACCAAAACATAGTCATCAGCCCGATAGGTAGAAGTCGGAGAGAAAAAGCCAGAAAGCCAAAGAGAAAAAATTAGGTAACTGCTGCCCGGGCAGAGGGAAACCTCATTTCTGGGCGTCGGCATCTGCGGCAAAAGTCAAACAAAAACTCAGCCATATATTATGTCAGAGGCGTCAGATAAGCGGCCAGACGACTCCCATATAGTAGCAGAGCCGAAATCTCGTCGCGACGCGGGCCAGCAAAAAGCGCAGGCGAATGTAAATCTGCTCCGAAATTGGTTTCTTCTTTCAAAATGCGATTACAAGTCGATGAGCCGCCAGACAGCGACAGCAACCAAAAGTGAATCAGGAAAAAGGAAAAAGAAAAAATTAAATAAAATTATCCGCAATAAGAAAAGTAAATGGATGCGAGGATTAAATGCCCTGCAAAGAGGGATCCTTTTATACCAAATTAAAATCAAAAACTTATATCAAAGTCAGGCCAAGATGTTCAACCAGCTTCTAAGTATTATAAGCCAATTAGCATTAGCAGATCAAAAGAATAAAACTCATGGCAATGGAATTAATACTAGGTACACCCAATGTTAAAGAAAGAAGTTTTATTAGGAATAATAAGAGAACCATAACTATTATGCCTATCAAGTGTTGGGGATGAGGGATAAATTATAAAAGCTAGAATAGGTATAACATGTATTCAACGGTTATGTTGGCCACATATATATATATAGATATACTTACATTAATCAGTTTGGTATCACATAGAAGGTTGGCCCAATGTACCATGTAACATAAATAGCCACAGACTTTATAATGGGCGTAAAATAGCAGCATAAATGCGACTGTAAAGTGAGAGCAGTCTGATCAAAAGTGCATGACTACTAAATACCCTGTATCCAGCGTTGAGTTGCCATAACAATTATTTTAACTTCCTTCTCTACATATACAAATATACACAAGGCAAATAAATCCGCTTCTTTTTCTTCGCTCTGCTACATAGTATGCGATATGCATTGTTGCAAACCTTCGGTGCTTATAGTCCGATCTTTATACGATTTTCTAGGGTATTATGGCAATAGAAAAATACGTTACATTTATTGTATGCGAAATTCCAAATGTCTTCATTGGAAGACCTCTTCCTTAATTGGAAGAAAAACACTTGAGTACATGCAATAAAAAATAAAAGGTACATTCTATATTGAAAAACTGTACATCTTTCAGTCAAAGACTACTGAGATAGACAAAGACAGATCCTGATAGATAGACTCCATCGATGCTGCGCTTTGTTCTGCTCATGAATATGTATACCTTACCGAGTCGGAGATGCTTTATTTAGGCCCTCTTTTTTGGTAGAGTACATAAGACGAAGGCCACTTTTGCTCCCGCTTCTGCTCCTGCTCCTTTTCTGCTTATGAGCGGAGGCAGTAATCGGATGATTTGCATGCAAGTATGCCAAATGATGCTAAATGGGATGGCCAAGACGCTGCTCGGGCAATTGAATTGAGGCAGAGGCGAGTGGCTGGAATGCTGGCAAAATGCGGTGCTGAGTAAGCAGCTTGGGGCGTTTTTTAAAGTTGCCTCGGGCTAGTACTTATTAGGCATAAGCTTAAGGCTCTCTAGTTGCCAACAGCTTGCAATTAATGTAGTTAATTAACCGCAGCAACAATTGCGGCATGCAGCTCCTCCACTCGAATTGCATACTTCAATGGGGGCCAGGCAACCAAAGTACCATTGAAGAGGTCCTTGCCAGGGCCCTTCATTTAGACAATGTGCATGGAATACTTTCTAATTGGGTAAGCAAAATGAGCATTTGCACAAGCTCATACACACACACGCACACACTCACACACAAGGAGGCGTACACACGCCCATTTGTACGGGCACAACAAATATTTAACGAAATTATAAATGTACACAAGTGAAATTTATAACAAACTCAACGTTGATGACGACAATGAAGACATGAAAGCGTTCATTACTCAATTTCCAAGATGAAAAGCAAAACAGGGCGCTGGCAAAGGGTTAAAGGGGTCATGGGAGGGGAGGGGAGGGGAGGGCAGCAGCATCAGTCAGACAGAAGCATGCAGAGGCAAGAGCTTGGCAGAGGGTCTGTTGCCCTGGTCCAAAGAGTGCGCAACATTCCTCGACTTGTGTGTAGTACTTCATTCTAGTCTGCTCCACGGCTCTTCGGGTCTGCTCTCAGCTCAAAACAATTAAAAACCGTAAATGTCCCCACATGACAAAGTGTGAACTTAATTTCATTTTTGTAGTTTACAAATGCAACAACAACAACAACAACAGCAACAACAGCAACAACAACAACAGCAGGAACAATAACAACTGCAAGACAGCTAGAAAAAACTCAGACAAAAAAGAGATGTGCAAAGGGAACGTTGATAATGGGCCGGTCAAAAAAGGAAAGGGGTGAGAAAAAACACAGAGAGAGAGAGAGAGAGAGAGTGACAGCGGGAGTCGGAGCGAGAGAGTGAGAGCGAGAGCGAAACAACTAAATACAAATGAAAATGCTTTTGTAATGCCACAAAAACTATGCAGCAGATCCAAAAGTTATGGCCAGAGGGATTGAGAGGGGGGGGGGGGGGGCAGCTTGCCAGGAACAGTAACAGAACAGAACGAAGCCAGCAACCAACCAGTTGCCGGGGCATTCACAATAACGAGCAAAACGAAGCACGAATGAAAGTAATTTTCTAAATACTTATGTATGGTCATTGTGAGTGTGTGTGCGCGCGTAAGTGTCTATGTGAGTGCCTCTGTGTGTGTGTGTGTGTGTGAGTGTGTGAGTGCGCAAGCCATTTTTCAAAGCTTAATTTCCACAAACAAGTAGCAAGCACTCGAGAGAATCGCAAAAAAAAATTTAAAAAAATATAAATTGAATATAACACTACAGTAAAAATAACTACAAATTAGAAGGGAAAGCGTTTTTTAGAAGATCGAACTGTTCATACTCTACAGATTTGTAAACATATTCTGATATAGTTAGAAGCTTTGCTTGTTTTCATTTATCCGCTTTGCGGATAATATAAAATTTGCCAATAACGAATATTATAATATCATGTAGGCTCTCGAAAACATCCCACGACGATTTTTGGTATCTTGGAATATTAACCTTATATACAAAAATCGTATTGTTTTATAGGAATCCATTTTCTCGTTCTACCAGTACAGCCGCTGCCAAAAATACCACACAGAGTAGAAGATTATGAATTGCCAAACACTCTAACTTATTCTAGGCATTTTTATGAGGAGGCAAATGTCAAGGACGACTTATAGAACGCTCTTTATATATACACATCAATTTATTTAATATATCGTTTTTTGATTCATTTTGGTCCAATGCGTCTTTAAGTTTAATGTAGGGTGTAGAGAAATAAGTGCACTTCAGACATGCTCATTAAAAATAAGCTGACGTACAATTGTAGCCAGCTTAAATTTATACTTTAATGTGGGATATTGAATGAAAAAATGGCAGAGAGCTCTAGTCAGGAGTTACCCAGAGCGCAAGGCTTCGGCTTTAAGAAGAAGATGATTCTTACAAATTTTTGGAATACGTGGATCGGCATACATTATTTTTAATTAAATTAATTTATATTTAAATTGGTCGCATTTTGTACATTTCTTCAGGCTGGGAGTAGATTAATTCCAGAGAACTTCCATACCGTCAGTGTAATATATGAATATGCTCATTATTTGCGACTCAATATAGACTGCTACGCAATTTTATGTATCCTAAGTATACTTCCTTCTTCCTTGCACTTAAGTATATGTGGAGAACCGAAATTGTGCAGTCGCTAGTTCTAATCTAAAATTGAGCTGTGACTCAACAGTAAAAACAGTTTGCTACAAATTGCCAAAGCACTCAGCATCCGCCTATCCAAACGCAACGCAAGTCGCAGTTAGAGCGACCGAGAGAGAGAGAGAGAGAGAGAGGGGGGGGGAAAGTCTCTGAGCAATTCGCTGTGTGTCTCGCTGTGCATACAAATTGCCGTGGAATGCGTGCCAAGGCACGCGGTGGTTTGGGTTC